CTAGAGGAAGCATGATTCAGAAGAGGTTCGGCCGAACCTTCTGATGGTGTGGCCGAACCAAGGTGTGGGCGAACCTGCTCAGTGGCTCGGCCGAACGTTGAGGCAGGGGCAAGATGAAAATTGGCAGTTTTGCAAGAGTGGCCGAACCACAGGAGTTCGACCAGACCAGGATCAGGGAGGTTCGACCGAACCTAACCATGGTTTGGCCGAACCTACCCTGTAGTCCGGCCGAACCTTCCCATTTGTTCGGTCGGACCTCTCCTTTTATCAGCTGGCTCTGTACGGACTATATAAGTCCCATTTTTAGAACGTTTTGGGGAGGAGATGAACTTAGTTTTAATTTTCTACATTTGAGCTTAATCTAGAGAGAGAAACTTCATTAGTAGAGAGAGAAAGTGTGGATTTTCATTGATGAACTTGGATATTGAAGAAGGAGCTTGATTGAATCTTTGTAAATCTTCATCTTCAATTAATGAGCAATCTCTTACTCTCTTTCTTTACTTTTGTATTTAGTTTTGTTTGCTTATTTTGATTTTCCTTCTTTGCTTATTGATCATGTTGATGCTTATTGATTTGATGATTGATATTGTCTTCAATATGATTTGTGAGTAGTCACCTAGACAAGGGTGTGGAATTGGTGTAGTGTTTAATTGATTCATGCTTATGATGTTGGGGTTATGTCAATGGTGATTAAAGTCTTTGTATGCTTGATATTCTTTGGTCTTTCTTGCAAGTGCACATAGTTAGTTGATCAAAGATGAGTCTTTACTAACAAGTAACGGAAGTTGACTTAGTTGAGATTCATTACTATCGATAATTCTTTGTTTGCACCTTCTAATAAATGGTTCTAATGTGGAAACATAGAGGCTATGTTAGGAGAAATCGATTAACCCCGGAAGGCTGTTAGATCGAGCTTTATTTCGATATTCTTGCATACTTAGTTTACCATTGCTTTGCTTCCGTGTTATTGCATGATCAAGTGACATCTACATCTACCCACTTCCCTTGGTGTTTAGTTATATTGATCTTTAATCATTCTTAATCCTTAGTTTAATCTCTTAGTTATTCACACTTCTTGTCCCGAGATAGCTTAAAGTCTTAAGTAGTGAATGCGGTGTTTATGCATGTCTCCTTGTGGTTCGACCCCTCTATTTACCCTATACACGTATTAGGTCGGTAGAGCGTTATAAATTAATTTGACTTAGGTGTAGTCGCTCAACGACACGATTATTGCCTTACCACTTATACAACTATAGACTGAACATTAGAGTTAAACATAGAATTTTCATCAAAGACTACATTTCTACTAAGTATAACTCTACTTTCCGATGGAGACCAAATCCTATAACCTTTAACCCCATCTCCATAACCTACAAATACTCCCTTTTTGGCCCTTGGCTCTAATTTACCCTCATTAACATGATAATAAACAATGCAACCAAAAGCTCTCATTTTTTAGTAATCTGCAGGCTTACTAGACCACACCTCATATAGTGTTTTGAGGTTAATTCCAGAGTGCGGTCCATGGTTGATCAGATAACATGTCATACTAACGGCTTCTGCCCAAAACTTTCTGGTCAATCCAGCATTAGAGAGCATGCACCGAACTCTCTCCAAAAGTGTCTGATTCATTCGTTCTGCTACACCATTTTGCTGTGGTGTATCTCTGACGGTACGATGCTTAGCGATCCCCTCATTCTTGCAGAACTCATCGAACTCAGACGAACAAAATTCTAGACCATTATCAGTTCGTAGCTTCTTGATCTTCTTCCCAGTTTGATTCTCCACAAACACCTTCCACTGCTTGAAAGCTTCACTTTTAAACCTCATTATGATCACCCAAGTCATCCTTGAAAAATCATCAATGAATGATACAAAATACCCGTAACCTCCCAATGACTCAACGCGTGAAGGACCCCAACAATCGGAGTGGATATAATCAAGAGTACCTTTAGTTCTATGAATGCATTTGGGGAACTTAATGCGATGTAGTTTCCCAAAGACACAATGCTCACAAAAATCAAGGTTTCTAACCTTGTGGCCACCTAAAAGATCAGCCTTGGAGAGGATTTGCATTCCTCTCTCACTCATATGCCCAGGCCTTATGGGCCATAACTTGGTCATATCATCCTTCTGAACCTTAGATGAAGCAACAACAACTGAACCTAATAAAGTGGAGCCCTGTAGGAAATACAAAGTACCGCGCTTGACACCCTTTAGAATCACATTAGAACCCTTGCAGACATTCAGAACTCGACCTTTACCCCTGAAACTCAAACCCTTATTGTCTAGTGCACTAAGTGAAATAAGATTCTTAGTCATTTTTGGAACATGTCTGACATCGTTCAATATGTGAAACATACCATCATGTGTCCGGATTTTGTAGAGCCAATCCCAATTGCCTTGCACACTACACTATTAGCCATTGAAATAGTTCCTCCATTTACTTGCTCATAGGTAGTAAACCACTCCCTACGTGGACATATATGATACGATGCAATCAAGAACCCACACATCATTGTGATATGTATGTTCACCCGCAACTAAAGCAATGTCATACTCAGAATTCGAATCCTCTTCTGCTAAAGCAGCAGATACATATTTATCCTGTCGTTTCTTCTTGGGATATTCTCTCTTCCAATGCCCCTTCTCTTTATAGTAATTACAGACATCAGTTTGCTTAAGACCCCGTTTGGAATTTCCAGGTTTCTTAGCCTTCTTCTTCGCGAAATTTCCATGTCCTTTTCCACCACCGGCCATTAATCCAGAGGCTTGATTGTCTGTACCTGTACTACTAGATGCCTTATGGCGTAATTCCCTAGTATGAAGAGATGATCTAACCTCTTCTAGGGGCAAAGTATCTTTACCAACAATAAAAGATTGCACAAAATTCTCATACGACAAAGGTAAAGTAACTAACAAAATTAAAGCAGCATCCTCATCATCAACCTTAACATCAATATTACGCAAATCTAACAAAATCGTATTTAATTGATCTAGATGATCTCTAAGAGGTGTACCTTCATTCATTCGCAGACTCAACAGACGTTGCTTCAATAGCAACTTGTTTGTTAGAGACTTTGTCATGTACAAACTCTCCAATTTCAACCACAAACTTGATGCAGTTTCCTCCTTCGCAACCTCGGTAATGATATCGTCTGCAAGACACAACATGATCGTTGAATGTGCCTTCTCCTCCAGAATGGCCATCTCAGCGGTATCCGGACCCAATGACTTCTTTGTCGATGGTGTCTTAGCGCCATCCGATGACTTCTTTGCCAATGATGCCCATAACCCTTGTTGTTTCAACAACGCCCGCATCTTGATCTGCGTTAAACTAAAACTTTTCCTCCCCGTGAATTTATCAATTTCACATTCATACCAGACATCTCTCCCACTCAAATTGAACCTAAGCTCTTGATACCAATTGTTGTAACGGATGTGAGAAAGAACAAATTAATGAATGCAAAACAAATAAATAGCACACACAGATTTATGTGGTTCACCAACAATGTGTTGGCTACGTCCACGGGCAGGCGAGAGAAAAGCTTTATTGATCTTGAGGAAATTCCAGATTAAATATTAATAATGTCAATTATCAATAATAGACTAAGCAATGAATAAACCCTAACTAGGAATATATATAGCTTCCCCAAATAAGATAGATTAGTGCATAAAAACGGCCCATAAAACCCTAATAAATCGTGTGGGTTCCACCGTGCACAAACGGAGAGCTCTCGCTCACCATCGAGCGAGCTATCGCTCGGACCCCAGTCAAGCTATCGCTCATGGTCGAGCGAGCTATCGCTCAGCCCCTATCTCACCTTCGACCTTCGCGAGCTACCACGCGAGCTACCGAGCGAGCTATCGCTCGGCCTAGTCGAACCAATCTGTCATCGTGAGCTATAGCTCACTCGTAGAGATGTCAAAAGCCGACCCGACCCGAAATACCGACCCTAACCCGACCTATTAACCGACCCGTCTGAACCCGAAAGAAATGGTGACCCGAACCCGACCTAACCCGACCTGAAACCAACCCTAGACCCGAGTTGACCCGAGAATTTGAGACCCGAACCCGAACATTAACCGACTTAGAGACGACCCGACCTGAATGTAACCCGTAAATTATTGACCTGAACCGAACCCGACCTGAACCGAAATTGACCCAAACTCGTTTTAACCCGTCAAAATCCGAATTCAACCTAACCTGTTCCTAACCCAACCCGAATTTAACCCGACCTATTCCTAACCCGACCCGAATTTAACCCGACTTGCTACAAACCCGACTTGAATTTCAACCTAACCTGTTACAAACCTGACCCGAATCAATCCGACTTGTCATTGATCCGACCCAAATTCAACCCAACTTGTTATTGAATCAATATGTATAGGTCGTTATCTCACGTTGGTATTGGAACAGAAATTGAATCCTAACTCTATTCCTCTTCAATATTTCACTTTGAATCTTAAGAGGTTAGTTTCACAACATGTTTTTACTTTTTAGGGACGAAACATGTTTTCCGCAAATTATTGACTTGAACCGAACCCGACTCGAACCTGAGAATGACCCGACTTGATTATAACCCGCAAATTATTGACTTGAACCGAACCCGACTTGAACCCGAGAATGACCCGACCTGATTATAACCCGTAAATAATTTACTTGAACCAAACCCGACTCGAACCCGAGAACGACCCTAACTCGTTTAAACCCGTAAAGACCCGAATTTAACCCGACCTATTTTTCACCCAACCTGAATGTAATCCGACCTTTTACTAACCCGACCTACACCCGATAAGATGTATGACCCGACGCGACCCAACTCAAGCATGACCCAACCCGCACCTGACCCGCATATGTTATAACATTAACCTGTATTAACCCGACCTGAGATGACCCAACTCACACTAACCCGACTCAAACCCGACCCGTTTACGCGAATTGACAGCTCTACTCACTCGCATAGGACCTATAGCTCCAATTTCGTCGCAACTCCATATGCTTCCGAAACTACCGACCTACCTCTCGAGCTATAGCTCAGTGTTCCTAAACCCAAATTCAAGGCATATTTCAACAGAATAAATGACGATTCTATTTATGAAATTCGATAATTTTAAGGTAATTTGGAGGGATCCGTTTCTTCTTTCCTCTCTGACTACCCCCTTTCCTCGCAACCTCTTCTGGGGAAAGTGCACAAATTCTTGTTTATTTGTCCTCTCATCAGAGAAAATGGGTAATAATTCTCACTTTCTCTCTCCTCCATTACCATCTATTTCGATTGATTTGCGTTATTCAAGTTTTGCTTTAATAATGGTACAATTTGATCTTTATAAGTGTTGGCTTTATCGATTTCGAGTTTTTTTTATAGGTATTTCTCGTGAATCTGTGTTCAAAATGCGTGCCGCTAGTGCCAAGAACAATTGAAGAAGGTTCGGAGGTAGAAGCATAAAAATATTAATTTTACTTTTTCTCGATTTTTTTTTTTATCAATTTATATTTCTGGTTCTTATATGAGCTTGCAAATTTTCAAGTTTTTGGGCTTAATTATATTTTTGTACTACAATTGAATCTTTTAGATGGTTTGGATTGGTTGATTGATTATGTTATTGTGAGATTTATGTTGATGAAATGAGAATTAAGTAGTATACTGAATTACTTTGACTTAGGTAGTAGTTAAAACATGTTTTGATTGAAATTAAAGCTGATGGGTGAGATATGTTGTCATTTTGGGGTATGTATCTGTCGTGCTAAAGAACTTGTATTATTGATATACAATCAAATCTGACTTTATGTGTTTGTTATTCCATTGAATTGAAAATAATACTCTCCGTCCAAGAATAATGATACATGCCTAAGAATATTCTCTCTTAAATAGTTTTTCATTCTACCTATATCTTGAACCTGTAGCATTTTTTCTGAAGATGTTTCTGTTGAGCATCTTTTTTGCTATTTGACTGATGGTCAACATGTAAGTAATATTAGTTCTAGTTATATTGCTTTTTTACAATGTTCATGTTATCCATATGGTAGCAGATTAAACACCGAGTCTTTTTAGTAACTCAGTGGCCCTTTCTTTAGGTTTTTGGTTTATGTGGGAGCAACGAGTGCCTACAATCCAATCATTGTTTGAAATAAATATTGACTGAAATTATGAACTGTATAGCTCCACTTTCTTCGATAGGCTGCAAATCTGACTAGAAAATAAGGCCATCAAGGTCTGCTAGGTCACGTTGATGTAATGGATGCACGCCACACATCCAGGCTTGTATTTTTCAAACATCCACATCCAAGAATCTTATTATATTGGCATACTAAGATACCAGCACTGACAACTTTTGAAAGTCAACCCAAGAATTGAGATGTGCTTAAAACAATAAACAGAGTGGATAAACCATCAGAACTTGTAGGTAAGATGGAAAAACTCTTATTTTATGCAAAGATAGTTTTCTAACATTACTTGCAAGGATTTGATTGATAGATCATGGATCTTAAAGAAATCAGACAGGGGTGTCATAGAAGATTTTGGATGTTCTTGGTCACTGAAATATCCAAGTTATGCTTTGTGAGCAAGTGGTTCGCATGGCTAACTCTCTCTGTGGTGACAATGGTGAACCTCTCACATGTGAGAATTTCTCTTGTAGGGATGGCCTCATAAAAAACCGGACATTATTTTCTCTACACCTGTTGCTCTTTTGAATTCTTGGGGTGCTATATGCCTATATATGACTGGGATCTCTCTCTCTCCTTTATTTTAAGATTTTGAAATTATAAAATTATGATTTGCATATTGGCACATAGGGGTGTACATAAACAGGACCGGACCTGAAAACCGACCTGAACCGGACCTGTTGGGACCGGACCTGATCCGGACCTGTAGATTCAGGTCCGGTCCCGGTCCTTGAAATTCAAGGTTTCCGGTTCCGGTCCGGATCAGGTCCAAAACCGGGGTTTTCAGGTCCGGACCTGAAACCCGGATTTTTTATATAATATATATATAAAAAAAATATAAAAGCCTAAAAAACCTAATACTTCAACTATTCAGCAACGCCTCTTCTCCTCTCACCTTTTCTCTTATCCTTTCTGATTCTCAGTATCCCCTCTTCCTCTCTAATTCTCAATCTCCCCTCTTCCTCTCTGATTCTCAATCTCACCCTTTCTTTCTGGTTCTCAACGACTCCTCTTCCTCTCCTCTTCTCTCTTCCTGGCTCCAGCATCGTGGGATTGGAGCACCGTCGTCCAACATCGAGGCCCCGTCGTCCACCATCTGCCGTCACCAGAGTTTGTTTATACTTTAGTTTTAGTTGAATATAGGTTAGTATGTAGATCTAGTTTTATTTTTCACATAATTTACGATTATAATTATCTTTTTTAATGAAATTGTAATGTAAAATTATAAATTTTGTAATTTAAGTTTGTAGATCTATTTTTTCGAAATTTCTGTTTTTTTTTTTTCTCGGATTTTCTGACAATTTATGTATAATTTGTTTTTTGCGATTTTTTTGTTCGTTTTTTTGTTTTTTGTTCGGATGTTGGATGTATGTGTGGAATCGATTTGGGTTTTTTTCTTTTTCTTTTGTTTTTCTGGGTTGTGGGTGCGGTGGATGCCTGACGGTGGTGGGTTTTTTTTTTCAATTTTTTCGTTTTTCTGGGTTATGGGTGGGTATCAATGGGTCTGGGTTGTTGGGGTTATGGTGTCTGGGTTAAGGGGGTTAAGGTGGTTAAGGGGTGAGTTGGGGTAGGTGGTAGAAGGAAAGAAGCTTGTGGTGGTGGGCTGTGCGTAGGGGTGTATGTATTAGTGGTGGTGGGTTGTTCGTAGGAGGTTGTTGATGATAGTTTTTAGTCAAAACTTTGGCTTGAATAAAGAAAAAAAAAGGGAAAATACAAATTCAGGTCTGTTCAGGTCTAAACCCGGACCGAACCTGAATTTTCAGGTCTGACCCGAAACCGGACCTGTTGATTCAGGTCCGGTCTCCGGTCCTCAAAATTCTCTAATTCAGGTCCCCGGTCCAAACAGGTCCGGTCCAGGTCCGGTCCGGTTTTGGACCGGTGTACACCCCTATTGGCACATACATTCTTATCATCAGAAACTAACTGCATTCTTGTATCTAAAGGTTCTGAAAATTGAAAAGGCAAGGAAGGCGAGGTAAAGTTGAGAGAAAATGTATTTTAAAGAGACAAGAGTAAGTAGTGCTGAGTACCTACTTGGGTTGACGCAAGTACACAACAAATAGCAATAAGCAGATAATTAAGCATCAGCCCATAAGTCTAAGTAAAAACTGAAGGGATATGTCTAAGTAACATAGGTTATGGTTGTTGCTGTAGTTGGAGCTGCGATTACCCCTCTTGGATGCTGCTTTTGTTTGGATGTTGCAGCCTCTGTTTATTTACTATTTTTTAATAATATTATTGAGATGTAAAATTGGATTTAGTGTTTGATAATATGTAGAATTGGATTTGGTGTTTGATAATTTGTAAAATTGGATTTGATATATGTTATTATAGTGTGAATGGATAAAAAATATGGGTATTTGTAACTGGCACCTTTCCTGCGCCTGTTACAAATACCCCTAAAATTTTGCCTTTTTTAGACATTCAAATAACAACTTATTTTTAACGAACAGGTGAAATGTCCGTTACAAATAAGAGGTTATTCATAACGGGCATTGTACTTGTCCATTACAAATAAGTGGTTCTTCGTAACGGGCATTGTACTTGTGCATTACAAAAAAGTGGTTATTTGTAACGGGCATTTCACGTGCTCGTTACGAATAACCACTTATTTGTAACGGGCATTGCCTGTTTCAAATAACATTGCCTATCAGTAACGGTTGCATACGTAACGCCCGTTGCCCATTACGGATATGCTATTTGCCTATCAGTAATTGTTGCATACGTAACGGCCGTTGCCCATTACGGATAGGCTATTTTTGCCCGTTACAGATAGCCTTTTTTCCACTAGTGACTCATGGTCGAGGAAATAGGATCTGATAGCCATAATGAGAAGTATACTTTTGACGATTTTTAAATCTCTTAAAGTATTCTTATAGGTCGATCCAGTATGGTTCTTAACCAATACACGTGCAAATGATTTATGACAATCATTTCCTTATAGCACAAGAAACAGTGCTATAAATCAAACTACTCACTAATCTCAAGTGACCTCGATTAGGGATAATTTTCGATTATAATATTCAATGTTCACTTAATAGGTGTTTCCTTATCAAGACTGGTCTTGATACCCTATTTTTAATATTCTTTGAATCGAATGGACTCATTATTTAATCCTAAACCACAATTAAATAGCAAACAAAGTGATAAAATTACATGAAATTTAAATTACTCCAAAAACTTGAATGGTTTTTCTTAGTGTCTTACATTAAAATGTTCAAAAATTAACTAAAACACTTAACAAGGAAATCAAAGCAAATCTCTAACGTGACTAATTCCCATTGCCTTAATGTGCTTGTTGTGCTTCACTTGATGCAAAGGCTTAGTAAGTGGATCGGCAACATTGTCATCCGTTTTAACTTTACAAATTCTGATTTCACCCTCTGATTTCCATTTTTGAATCATGTGAAATCGCCGCTTGACATGTTTTACCTTCTGGTGTTCCCTTGGTTCTCTATCCTGAGAAATAGCTCCATTGTTGTCATAATAGAGGGCTATTGGACCCTTGATATAGGGTACAACATCAAGTTCACCAACGACCTTACGAATCCAAACAACCTCCTTAGTCGCTTCAACTGTCAAGTATTTGGCTTCAGTTGTAGAATCTACAGTTGTGCTCTACTTGACACTCTTCTAACTAAACGCTCCTCCATTTAGACAAAACACATATCTAGATTACGATTTGAAATCGTTTCTGTCTACCTGGAAGCTTGCGTCAGTATAACTTTCAACAACTAATTCTTGTGAGCCACCATACACCAGGAATTTAATATTATTCCTTATTAGGTACTTTAGGATATTCTTGGCCACAGTTCAATATGCCTCTCTTGTTCTGATTGATATCATCTCGTAGCACTCAAGGCATACGATACATCTGGCCTAGTACATATCATTGCATACATGATCGATCCAATTAGCGAAGCATATGGAATCTGATTCATCCTTTCCTACTCATCAGGTGTCTGTGGATACTGCTTCTTGCTTAGGGTTATGCCATGTGACATAGGTAGGTGACCTTTCTTGGCCTCCTACATGTTGAATCATGCGAGAACCTTATCAATATAAGTACTTTGGCTCAATACAATCATCCTTTTCGATCTAATCCTTATAGATCTTGATACCCAATATGTACTGAGCCTCTCCCAAGTCTTTCATTGAAAAACACTTTCCGAGCAAGGCCTTTACAAACTCTAACATCGGAATGATGTTTCTAATGAGCAATATGTCATCGACATATATGACTAGGAAGGCGATGTCACTCCCACTGACCTTCTTGTAAACACAAGTTCATCTGGATTCTTGATAAAACCAAACTTACTGATTGCTTCATCGAATCGCAGATTCCAACTCCTGCTAGCTTGCTTTAGCCCGTAGATGGACTTTTTAAGCTTACAAACTTTCCCAACATTGTTTTGGTCGACAAAACCTTCAGGTTGTGTCATATACACAGTTTCTTCCAAAACCCCACTGAGGAAGGCGATTTTGACGTCAATCTGCCATATTTCATAATTGTAATATGCAACAATCGCTAGGAGGATCCGAACGGATTTAAGCATTGCGATTGAATGCTACCAATCTAGCTTTGTAAATGAATACATGGAATCTTTGTCGGTTTTCAATTTGAAAATCCACTTACATCCGATAGGTGTGTAACCCTCGGGTAAGTCAACCAAGTCCCATACTTGATTTTCAAATATGGAATCCATTTCAAATCTCATGTCCTCTTGCGGTTCAGAAGAGTTGGTGCTTCCCATCGCTTGCTTGTAGGTTGTCGATTCATCTCCATCCATAACTAGTATATCCTGATTCTCGATTAATACAATACCAACATATCTATCATGTTGAGATCTCGGCCTCTTAGACCTACGCAGGGTAGCAGATTGAGCATTTGCATTGTCTGTTTGACTTTGCACATTTTGACCATTTTGACCAGCGTCAACAGATGTTGTTTGAGCACTTAGACTATCAATCTAATTTTGTTGCTTGTCCACTCGAACTTCTTCGAGTTCAATTTCCTCCCACTTGTCATTTTGGAAAGGTGCTCCTCTAAAAAGACACCATCACGAGCAACAAACACTTTGTTCTTGGATTTATTGTAGAAGTAATACCTTTGGTTTCTTTTAGGTAGCCCACAAAGTAAACCTTGTCATATTTGGGATGAAGTTTGTCAGAAATCAATTTCTTGACATATGCTTCGTATCCCCATATCTTTGGAAAAGACAACCTAGGAGGTTTCTTCGTCCATAACTGAAAGGAATAGTGTCCTTCGAACAAGTGTATTATTATGATAGTGGGTTCAGAATTATTAGAAAGCTAATATATTCTGTAAGGTTAAGTGATCGGAATGTCTGGCTGGAGGCCGCTTCCGATCAGTAATATTAATGCATAATTAATATTACAGCTTAATCTTGACTGAACCCTCCGGGTCACACCCAAGCAATCAACAAGCCGAAGCGACGAATTAATTCGGAAGGAATTAATGAGTCGACCAAGTAATATTTATTTAGACGTCGCAAATTCGAGCTTTGAGCGTCGAAACTGAGTGTCGGAAGTCGAGTCGAGTCGAAAATAATAAAAGACGAGACGTGTGAATAGTATTAAATCAACATAATTCCCAAAATACCCCTGTAGACACCCATTTGTGTCTCCCCAAAACCAAACCCGGTGATGAGTACCTTTCGCGTCGAATCATAACCGAATGAAGTTAAAGTGTGGAAAGTCTAGTATTGCGGATAGTTTTAATTTCTTTTCTCTTCTCTCTGTTTTTGAAAACCTATTTTAAGAAAACAGCCAATCCAGTTTGGTTTGGTCCATAGAAAGGGTCCAATAATGGTGTAGTTGGATGGGGCTTGAAAAGAGCTTTCCAACGATATATTATAAGCCCAATTCCAATGAATAATGAGGAAGTTATGGCCAAATTACTAAACTGGGAACAGTTTGATACTTATATGCGGTCCAATGATCTAGAGGAGGGCCCAATATAGATTTATCATTCCTAATGCAATTAGAATTGATTTTAGTCTTCTAGATTCTTCTAGAAGGTTCTTTCCATTCCTAATTCAATTAGCATTGATAAATTGACTTTGGTTGACTTTTTACAGTTTTAATCAGAATAAAAGAGTGTTTTTAAGGAAAATACGATTTTTCCCTTCTGTACGGCTAAATTTTATCAGAATTAAAAAAACGCGTGAAAATAATTGTTAGCGCCTGACGACAAGCATTAGCGCCTGACGCTAATGCTTGGCGCCTGGCGCTAGTGTTCAGCGTGTGGCGCTAACCTGTTTTATCCTTGTTGAAACTTTGATTTAATTTTCTATTCATTTGGCTGATTTTCTCTATAAATAGCCTCCTAAAACCTCCGTTTTCAGTTATCAACTCTCTAGTTTTTTAATTCTCTCCTCTCTCTAAGCTAAAGCTTATTCTCTCTCTTTTCTAAACCAACCCTTTTGCATACAAAATTCCGCATTCACAAGACCAAGAAACACCTAGCCAAATTCGAAGTTGCCTTCGCTCTAGACGTGAAAGGTTTGATATTTCTGAGGGTTTGGTCCCAAATCTCTATTATTTAACTTAATTGTTTTGATTATTATTTTCCTTGAAGTTATTAACGTGTGTATTTTTTTATTAGAAAGAGATACGAGGCATTCAAGTAAGTGCTTTTATTGATACTTATGATTTAGAAATCATGTCTAGGTTGTTATTATGATTCCTAGTGTCATGTGAGAACGTTTTGATCTTTCTAGTATCATGTTTAGGGTAACAACTATAATTTCTATTATCAAATATATCAATTATAATTTCTACGATGCTTTCTATTTTCTTTCCTAATATTCATGTTAGTATCATGTTAGGGTTAAAGCTTTAATCTTTATATGTTTAGTGACATGCTAGGGTTTGTTATTAATCTTGTTAGTATCATGCCTAGGATCTAGCTATTATTATGCTTTAATATGATAATTAATATTGATTATTATTATTATGATTATGATTCATTATTAATTTATGATTATTTTTATGTTGCTTTATATATATTGTTATTGATTGATCATTCCTTTTATGCATGTTTAAAAGGAATTTGTACTTGTAATCACGCTTAATAAGATAATTAATAATCTTATTTACGGTTAATATGATTATAATTCAAGTGATCGCCAATAATAGTTTTGTTTGTGCATTAATATTCAACCAACATAGATAAATAGGTTTATGGTTAATCCTATTGATTGCATGTTAATTAGAAAGCGCACATGAATACGATCAGAATAAAGTAGAGACCTATTATTAGGGCAGGTTCAATCTCTTTTAGGTTGGATTTGTACCT